TATATGCTTATAAAACAGCATATAAAAATGTTAACAGCAGCGCGCAAGATTGCAAACTTTCTCTCATAACCAAGGCGCTGACTTTAATACGTACTGCTGCTGCTGGATTTCCCCTCATTGTTGCCGGAAGATAACTCCGGGCTGCTCGTCTCCTCCCGCGTCTCCTTCGTCTCGGTGTCCCGGCACGACTGTGCGTCCTCCGGGGCAGAGCTCGGTTGCTTGGTCGCTTGTTTATCTCCTGTGTAGCCATTTGTGGAGGAGCTTTCCGACGCATTCCCGTACGCGGTTTCATAAAACTGGTCGAAGACTTGTGGCAGCACACCATTTCTGCCCACGTTCCCGTAGAAATTGGTGGCAGCGGATCCGGCACCCGTATGGTGGTGATGGTGGTGGTGGTGGTACGCCGCGGCAGAGGCTGCGGGACTGTTTTTACCAAACATGTCCCCTACGACGGCTGTCTGAGCCGAAATACAGTCCCGGTGCACCATGTCTTCCGCGGTGGGGTAGCCATGGGGCAAGTTCCCCCGGTGTGGCCATTTTCCGGACGCTTCAATGGCTGCATAGTCCCTGAACGTCACCTCTCTGACGGGCTGGACCTGCGGCAGGTTAGAGGAGTAGGAGTATGTCATGGGGCGGGTGGACGGGTTTTGGGATAAAAACGAGGGAAGACCGGAGAAATCAGCCCCCGCCGACACGTAATAAGTGCAGCTGGGCAAATACATGTTCGATCCGACGGGGACTCTTTCTTCAAAATCCATCATCGTAGTTCACCCTCTGCTATAACTCTATGTTGGGCTTTGATTCCTCTATAGCCGCCCTGAACATGGCTCTGAAGCCCCGTGCCTCCTGCCTCTTTGAAGCAGGTTCGCTAAGCAGACATTTGGAGACGTAGGCTGACGTGGAGAGCCATCTCCATCCACTCTACGGAGGAGGAGGTCACGTGACCACGCGGCAGAAATTGACAGATTTTCAGGCTGTGTATAAGTGTGTGCGTGCCTGCGTGTGAGCGTGCACGTGAAGGAAAAAGAAAGAGTGTGTGTGGAGTGTAGGAGTGTGAGAGACGTGACTGTGTGTCCTAATGCTTGACATTGGTGGTTTATCGGTATGTGGGCTTAAAAATGAATTCCTTAATATGCTACGTCAGAATTAGAGAAAACTAAAATGTAATGATGTTTTTTAAAACACAACAGAGGTATTTAAAATCAAAGCAAATTTAAATACCCCAGATTTATTGTGCATTTCTAGATTTGTTGTGCTTTCCACACAGTCTGCTCAGAAAAAATGTGTGCGTAATTTAAGCGTTTTAGCTCTGCTATATAAATGATGAACACGAGAGAAAAACAAAAAGTATTCTGCAAGATAAAGTGTCGCATTCCTAGTTGACACTGACATTAACTAAACCAGCATTAAAGTGCTTTGATAACATGGACCTGGACTGGAGGAAGGAGACAACCATCTTATCTTAATGTCTGCTTTTAGAAACCTCTTAGTCATCATCATTTGGTGGTTTTACAACATAGCATTTGGCCTAGTGGGCATTTGGTTATCAGGGTCATGTTCAAAGTAGCGGCTAATGTTTCAACTGGCAACAGCCTTGTGTTAGTAGCAATATAACAAAGAACAAACTGAAATTCTGACAAAAATAAATACACGATATCTTCTTGAAATGTTTAGTGAACAGAACACGAATAAAGGGTTCAAATGTAACATGAGCCTAGACAATTGAATTGTTTTGTCCTGTACGACCTCCATTAAACACGTATTTTGAATGGTAACGTTCAGATTTACAACTACATTTTAGTATTGTAACTTTGTTGTGTACTTGTGATAAACAACAGAAGGATCCAACCTATACCTCTCAAAAAAGACTGGCGGTTCACTGAGAAAAATGTTCAATAATTGATAGTCCGTCTCCTTGATCCATTAAAACAGTCTGCTTGAATAACCAAATGTTACAACCCCTTCAGAATACTACATTTATTTTTATTTATTTTTAAATTATCCTCGTTTTACTGCTCTGTTTTGCCTCATGTAATGGTTGCAAAAGTCGCAACGCTCGACTCGGCTCCACTTTTACGCACGGCCATTTCTTTATGTTTTAGTGCAATATTTATAAAAATGTTCGTTGTTTAGCAAAAAGACATATTCCAGAAATGTAGACAACATTTTAATGGTTTTATGAATAATAATTTTCATCAAAGCCCTATTTGTTTCTATGTATTCCCATAAAACATCTGAACACACATTTGCGTAAATCCAAGTCGCATACATTTTTTTCTAAATGGATCATGTTGCGCAGGATTTAAAAATATCCGAAGCTCTATTTCACAGTCAAAACTCGAATTTTACAAGCAGAATTGTCTTCGGTATTTAGTTAAAAAACTGCATGGTGAATAACCAAAGTATATGGAGCCTATAAATTGACATACAGGAATTACATGTTGGAATATTATGTTCCACTGAAAATGAAGCAAATAGGGATAACAAATACCCACAATATTAATTGAATTAATTAAATGATGTCTACAATTTAATTTGGTAAACATGTCACCGAGCACATTGCCTGGCTCTTTGCTATATGGCCACCGTGGAGTTTGATTTGAAGAGGCTGCAACCTGACTCTAATGTGCTGTGAATGAGAGACCTTAGCTCGGATTAACCGCCGCGGCTGGCCTGGCCCCACAGTCCGATATGCACATGAGAAACCAAGAGGGTTCTAATTGCAATTGTGAAACACAACCTTAAAATATCACACACTCTAAGACGGTGCAAGCACCAACTATCGCCCTATGTGTACGAACACAGAAAAACAAAAGAGGCAGTCTGCTGGTCACAGTCCTGCTTTCAGGCCATTTTATGTGGATAAACTGCAGGGGCACAAACAACTCGAGCGTCTTTGCGACCACACGCTCCGCCTCTCAGTCAATCCAGACAAATTCTATGACTTGTCCTGAAGCTTTTAAGCTGTAATTGAGCACAGGATGCCCAGGAAAACCAAAGGCAGCTCTGCACAGACCTGCGTTTTTATAGCTGCTATAGTATTCTGGTGCACTTTTTTTCTCCCTGGCCAGACAGACACCACAAAACAGGCCAAGCGTGTTAGGAAGTCGCCACCTACACGGACTCAAAGTCAGCAGCTGAGGATTTCCAACCACATAAAAAGATATCATGTGTAGAGTAATAAGGTAAGATTTCTTTGTACAATATATATGCCCATTTCTATATGAATACAACAACAAAAAATGTGTTCTTAGAATAGACACATATTAAAAACCAAATGATAATGTAATGTTAAATGTTTTTTTTATTAAAGATAGATGTTATGCTAATCCTCTGACCATGCTCCCTGTGCTGTTTTTGGGCATGCAAACTGCTGTCTGGCTCTGCGTAAAAGCCCTCAAAGCCAAAGCTTTGTCTGTACGGTCGAATTCAAGTTCGGGGGAGGGAGAGGGTCCTTTTCAGAGAGCAAAGGGCCCTCTGTGCCCCGGATGGAGTTCCTTTAATTGCTTCTGCATTTACGTAGGCTTAAGGTTACAAGATTAGTCGATAGTGTGAGCCTGTAACTCTAAGCTGAGGAAAAGTCTAATGAACGTTACCACGTACTAATGGTGCATAATGAAACACGTAGGCCCTTAATGTACTTCATTTCGTAGGTTTGAACTTAACTGGAAAAAGATCACTAAATAGTTAACCATTGAGTCTTGTAGTTTTCGGGAGAATAGTTTACATTAAAACCCTTCATGTTGAAATGTAAGTTGACTTTTTGCGCTTTTACGCACAGGCACTAATTCGTTTATTTCAGATTTTGATCAGATTTTGGAAACATCAAAATATTAACATTAACAAAATTAGTTTTGACTATAACATGAATGTCATACCGGGATACAGATAGTGTTTCTACTTAGGGATACTGCGTTAAAGGTAATTTAGTCAAAATAAGAGCTTAATTCCTTCTAACTTTCTTTCTATGTTGTTGTACCTTGGCGCAGATACAAATACTATCATAAAGAAATAAAGAGACACTTGCACGTAACTTAAACAACACGCTCAAATCCAATAATTAAATTGATTCACTGGTAAAAACAACATATGCAAATTAAATAAATAAATCAGCTTTGACTTTTACGAAAGTAGAAAGTAGAAGTGAAGTGATTTGGTTTCAAAGAGAAGCGACATCCACAGGCCAATCCGTGTGCCATAAAACCTTGTCAGACAACAAGTAAACAATCAAGTGTGGGGAGGATCTGCAAGTACATTGCCACGTCAGGTAGGCCTGTGGGCTGTAAAGCAGACTAAATGGGCGCTTTCAGTGTCTTGCAAAGAAACCTCCTGTAGTTTTGAACCTTTAGTGAAATAAGCCCAAAGCTTTAGTAGAGGCTGTTTTTGTTTTCGTTTTATGGTAGAAAAAAGGCCACCACACCTGCAACTCAAAGCTTCTATTCACCATGTTATTTATCTTAAAATGAAAAAAAATAAACGTCCTAGTTTGCTGAGCGGGGAGGCCGAAAAAATACACAGGAAGTCGTATACAACAAACAACGGGTACTAAGTGACCTTTTGATGCACATACTCTAAAAAATGCTTTTAAATACCAAACATTACAATTTAACTGCAAACATGGAGGTACAATGCACAGTGTACACGGAGCAGTGGTCGTACAACCAAAATACAACTGGACGAAGCTATTGTTACCTGGATCATTTTCAGACAAAACATCCAATAATTGTTTATAATTCAATTGCTTGCGTTTTGCATGTGTATATTATTTACACAATACTATTTTTAAGTATTTTTGAACTTGAATGATCTTGGCTCAGCTGTTAAGTTGCTGGCTACATTGATACGAGTCTGCAGATGCGGGGGGGATTATAAAACCATCAGACTGAAACATGAAACAAGAGCTCGCACTTAATTGCGTAAATGAACGAGCAGGAATATATAGGCCAATATATCAGTACATTTGAACCTGATTCACCAAACAACTGTTGATTTATCCACAGGTGACAAATATGTGGGATAGCAATGGCGACGACAGAGGCGGACCACACAGAGGCCATGAAGGGAAACTGAGCAACTCCACGGTCAACGGGAGAGGATCTGACTTACCGGTTGGAGAATCACGCGATGATGGGCTTGCCTGAAGAGGGAATCCTCGGTACAAGGCGTCAGCAGGAGCAGGCCTGCATGCCTGCATGGACAAAAAGGACATAAACTGGACTTCAGTGGGAGATTATATGACATTTGACAAAGAAAAAGAAAAAGTACAAAGGTAAAGAAAGAGACGGAAATGTAAGTGTAATGGAAGGGTTTCAATTTAATTGGAAAAAAGGAACCCAAAATGTACAAACTGGCTATTGTGTCAAGCAATCCTCGTGTTTGTTGTGGATTTTCTATTGATTGGTTGAACAAAAATCAGATTCAGAGCTTTAGAAATGTAATGTCTAGTTACATTCCAGTCCTCCATTTTGTGCGCATGCTAAACTAATACTTTACTAATCTGAATAAAGAAAAAAAGATGGTGAATAGCCGAATTTGAATTATTTTCCTTGGATTATTTCATTTTTGAAATAATTGTTTAAACATGGTCTAAAGGCTACTTAAGACATAGCCTACATATTCAGCATCTGCATTTGACTCTAACTATTTGATCTCCCACGATATAAAATAAAATATTTAACAGCTGCATATGGTAAACTGGCATTTGGGAGAAACCATCATAAGTCAAAGAAACCCTTCGCTTGTAGGCTTTGTATCTAAGTATGATTTTTCTGATATTTTTGCTATCTGACATTACATTTTTAATATCCCGAAACAGGCTGTTTTTCAGAATGTTCCGAACGGTTACGAGGCAGCAAATTGTCTGCGTCAAATAGATCATTTAGATTAAACATAATATGACTCGTACTAAACAGGATTATTCGATTAAATGGACGAATTTAAATAACACATCACTACTGAACTACATTTTTAACGTTTACATTCTTATTAAATAATGCACAGTAGAATATTATTTAGCCACGTGTTTCGCATCTTTTTTACCCAACCTCAATTCATCTTGCTGAATGAACTGGATATTAGAAATACTTTATTCATCACAAATTGTCGTCTTTTGTAAATAGTATTTGAAAAATAAACAAATATTCAATATAAACATGTTTTCTGCAACTCAACTGGAATCATATCTTCTAGAAATGTATGTTTGTTCTCGGATGTAAATAAACGTACGATACATTTTATCTTGAAGGGATATAATTATTCTGTATAGGCAAACACAACCCACCCAAGACCCATTGCCTCCACTGTTATCCATGACGCAGACTCACACACAGGCTGTATCTTTCCTTTAAAAACATAGGCTACCCCTTCACAAATGAATACAGTAAATGATGTGCAATTTCTATTTCAAACCACATGAGATCAAAACAGAGAAACCTCGTCTGTGGAGGAAAAAGGCGCCGACTGAGGCTTTCGCATAATCTCGGTCAAGTGCTTCTATTTGACCGCTGTCACGGTCTCGGATAAATGTATGTCTGCTCTGGTCTTTGTGGTGTATTACGAGATTATCCTCCAAACTCGTGTTTTCAAGCTGGACCAGAGCCATATTGTTGAGTGAGTGAAGGTTACAGGCCCAACCACAATTACGCACAGAGACAGCGAAGGTCAATGTAAAGAGCAAAGCCCAGTGATGGCCCTTTCTGTGTTCAACCACGTCTGACAGGCAGGAGAAGGCCACACAGGCCTGCTTATTGAAAATGTGGTCCATCATATAGATATGTGATCAATTTGATTCATTAATTACTTTGAAAACACCACACGGTAACGGTTTATTTGAATAAACAGCTGTGTGTTATTTAAATCCTATAAACTTCCTGAGGATGAGGATGCACAATCGTATTTTCAATTAATCTGAAGAAACATAACCTTTATCTCTTAAAAAAGCAAGTTAGTGTAACATGGTTCAAGCTTTGGTTCATTGATATTTTATATGTTTTGAATGTCCCTAAATAAAACGATTATTTCTTTTTTTACTTTTTCATCCTTCGCCTATTTGTTTGTAAAGTAAATGATGAATTGCCCATGCAGTTAAGGCTTTATAAAGCAAATAATAGGTTAATTGAACTCATTTCAGAAGCTATAACTGTAATTCACTTGTTTTGCCTGATGGAAGAACTCAAGTTTTGCACAGTTATCAGAACTATTATTATTTACTTAAATGGTGTCTTCCTCCTTTGATTATTTAATCTTGAAATAATTATTTAAACCCACCGAATCCATTTAAGTAGCTAACGATATTAAATGTAATTCACTATGTTTGCCTTAGTGTGGCGGCAGATCTCTATTTTTGCGCAGTGATATTCCCTGTTCCTCCTGCCACAGCCTGAAGGCTCATGTGAGGAGAGGAGAGGCGGAGCATCGTGCTGCCAGCTTTCTTTGGTCTGTCACGTTATGCGTCAGGGAGGAGGCGGGACTCAAATGCTTGTTTTGGTTCTCAGCAAGCCAATCAAACGCTCCTATGCTTCCTCTCAGCCAATGAGCTGCCTCGCTGTACACTTCCGCTCTTTAGCCTTAGCTCTTCCGCTCCTTGGGTTTTTTGGACTACAAACTACTCTTCGCAGTCAGACATCTTACTCTTCTCCTATCTTTGAGTTTATTGCATACCACGTGTGCACCCCGCCGTGCCTACGTCAGAGGACGTGAGAGCAGTGCGAAGCAGCAGCAGTCTGTGCTCGAGGATGTACGGTCTCACATTACTGTGGTGACTCTCTGCATTAGCCAGCTGGCTATGAGCATATCGTAAACACTAGATATCGGACTACTAACTATATTAGAATATCCCACAATCCAGCCTGTAGTAGATAGTGTGAATAACCCCAAAGTAATTCATGTTGAAGTTACTCGAGATTTTACATTTTTTTAAGAAAGGTTCATTCAATTTGAGTTGCAATAACTGTTGCAACAGATTTTATATTAGAAGTAATCATTCAAATCTGAAAACAACGCCCATTAAGATAAAACGATAAATATAAGTTACAAACAAAAAAATATGGCATATATCTGGCTAAAATTGACCACAAATGATTTAATCATCACTCAAACTAACACTATTACTAACATTACTAACATTATTATTATTATTATTATTATTATTATACAAATTCAGCACCCTGGTTTTGGAGGAGGATTTATAAAGAATGTAGCCTACATTCTGAGTTTGAGAGAACACATTAAATCCGTCTCGTAAATCTTTTAGTGAGTAAAGCTACTAAAAAAGGACACAAATAAATGCATACAACATATAGGCTACATAAGTTTCGTGTCTGTGTAACCCATGAGCTTTCCCTTATTGGGGTAAGTAACATGCGTAGCCTTATGCGAGTCATCCACATTGCCTATGTAAATATTGAGACAATACATAATGCATAAAAAAAATGTTTAAATGTACAAAAACTAAACAGACATGTCACACAAACAGGTGGGAAAGCCCGAGGAGCTGGCGCTCTTGACGAGGAGGAGTTTGGTTTCATGCCTGACATTTGACTGCCAGCAAGACTGAATCATATTTATCAATTCAGCCAAAACAAGCATGGTGGGAAGTTGCAATACTCTTAGTCACTCAAAACGGAAATTACTTTAAAATGTAAATATTCAGACGCTATAGTAGGCCTACGTTATAATGAACAATACGAAGGACTGAGGACGCAATAAATACGCAGCACAAGCATTTCAATTTTGTAAACTGCCAACGAATCTTAGAATAATGTATCTCAAATATAACCCTATTGATACAGCACACATCGTTTCATAAACATTGTCTTAATCATCCAAAAACTACACCAAATTAATATTGAATAACATTTAAAAAACATGTAAATAATGTTCGTGAGTACAGGCCTTCAGATTTAGCTTGTTCCGGATTAATCCAACAATCACAGAAAGGCAAGAAAAAATTAACAATTATAATAATACAAATATTATTATTTATATTGCATTCTGAAATGTATTTACCAATATAAAAAGTTGCACTCATGTTTAGAACTTAAAACGCACGTAAATGTGTCTCCTTTTACAAAGTAGATGGACACCCGGCCCAACGCACCGTTTGCACCCTGTCACCTGAATGTCGTTTACTGCAGTGACCATTTAGGGATTAAAGCAGACAAATCAATATGTATTTCACTGATCAAAATACAGACACATAGCAGACACAAATACACCAACGTTCAGCGCAAAATAGCTGCATATCAGTAACCACAAACGACTCAAAGGCCATGTAAATATTTTACAATATATGAATATAAAAGATTGACTTTATGGGATTTAAAATGTAACCTAGTGTATGGATTTCACCTTTTTTTGTATTTATGAATGAAACGGAAGCACGAAGAATAACGTTGGGAGAAAAATAGTTTACACCCTGCCTCAAACCTAAACCTCTTGTCAATAATTTAAATATGTAACAAAACATATTTGTTGTACAGAAAATATACATTTTCCACTCTCACCATTAAGTGAGAAAGGTGATTATAGTTTATTAAAATAAAGTGGTTTCCTGCAACGTTTAACTGTTTCTGATTATTGCGGATGCTGTCTCTGTCAAAGTAAATGAATAATAATTTAGATTTTTTTTGGAGAAATTAAATGAAAATGAAATAATTGTATTATAAATATTATTTATAATCTTACATTTGTTTTTCCAGTACGGGTTTATACTCAGTATTTGATTATTTGACCACTGATAATCCACCAGAGTATCTCACAAAGTCGCCGCTAGATGGCGATGCTAGCCCATATTTCAACACAGATCAGCCTCAACTGACTCAGGCTATTTCCTCTTTTCCCAGAGCCAGCAGAAATCTACTACACATGACAAATATTGGACTTCCAAAAATATATTTGAAATGTATTGGTGGCCTAATTCCGGCTAAAGGAAGCTGCTACAAACCCAGCAAAGACTGCGCGAGACAAGTTTACTATTCAAATATTCGCCACATGCAGTTGGAGTATGGGCCTACAAGACTGTTTTAGCGATAATGGAGGAGAACGTCTTCCAAAAGATGAAAAAGTAACACAAAGCTATGACTACAGTGCCATGCAATAAAAACATAACCTGGATCAAATTCAACAAAGTCCATATTTTATTGGGAAGGACTTAAACAACACTGGACTCACACACAAATAATCAGAATATCATGCCGAAATTTACTTTATATACAACCATGAAAACGCACACATCATAAAAAGCTCATATGAACACATATCCCGAACGATTATCTAAGCATTATAATAAGAATTGCACCATGGATCGGATATGAATAAGAGCACGGGTTCACATGATAAGGCTAAACTTCATACAAGCTAAGCATGTGAGTAGGTTTTAAACAAAAAAGGAAGCAAGGAGAGAGATTAATATTTAACATTCCCAAGGTCCAAATCCGTAACACCGTCTTTCTGTTAATCTTCGCATTTTTTTTATCACTCTCGTTAAAGTTGCAGATAAAGGTGTAGCTCGGTGGCGCACACCTTTCTGAACTGGGGCCAGTTTCGTGTTGAGAGTGAGCATGCCAAAAAAAAGAAATCACAAATACTGCTGCTAAATATTTTTTCCACTTGACTCCATTAATAATATTTATAAACAAGTGGCAGGAAATGGAGGGTCCATCTTGCACAGGCCTCAAATGTTGATCCAAGAGCTCCATGAAAATATTTGGCAACATACGAACAAATCATATTCAGTCAGGAAAGATTTCAGTTGTTCCAATCCATGAGTCCAAGCATGTGTGCGTGCGTACGCGCGCGCGTGTGTGTGTGTGTGTGTGTGTGTGTGTGTGTGTGTGTGTGTGTGTGTGTGTGTGTGTGTGTGTGTGTGTGTGTGTGTGTGTGTGTGGTAGTTTGTGTGGTACGTACGTTAACTTACGTTAGTAGTAC